ACATATGTTACATTTATTGTATCTATAAATTTTATTGCGCTTAAAAGTAGTGTTTTCAGGATGGTTGTTTTAAATGAAAATTTTCTAGATTCTTTTTCGATCCATATTATATCCACACAAATTGAAAATTATATGTATTGTTTAGTTGAACGTTATAAAATATGAAATGCATTAAATAAAAAATTGTTTCGGAATAGAAAAGCTACTCGCAGCGGTTAGAGGGTGATCACATCAATGCAATGCCCTAGTCCTCTTGGCTTGGAGGCAAATACGGGTTGATTTATTCGGAAAATATTTTGCCGTAATGCGACTTGCGTATTAGGGGCCAAAGTCCATTTTTCTCGGACGGGAGGCCTTCCTTTGCATTCGGAGAAAGCGCCGCCTGACAGCTATTGCGTTTGGGCAAGCGCCGCCGCCTCTGTTTGTGTGCCCTCGCCACCACTCGCCGCCCTAGGCGTTCGCCGCGCCTCTTCTCTGGGGGTTTCGAGGATTGCGGAGAATACGCGGGAGAGGGGTGGATGTGAAAGAATGGCTGGAGCAACGGGGAATGGAGGCGTGGTTAAGTGCATGGCACGGAGGACGCAGCCTAAAGGTGAGGCAGCGGAGAGGGGGCCGCAGATAGGATGTAGGCATCGGGAGCGCGAAATGGGCTGGGCGCGAGTGGGCTGGGCGCGAGTGGGCCTGGGCGCGAGTGGGCTGGGCGCGAGTGGGCTGGCGCGAGTGGGCTGGGCGCGAATGTGGGTTGGGCGCGGAGTGGGTTGGGCGCGATTGGCGAGGCGCGGTGTGGGCGGGCGCGAGTGGGCGGGGGGCGCGAGTGGGCGGGGCGCGAGTGGGTTGGGGAGCGAGTGGGGGTTGGGAGCGAGTGGGTTGGGAGCGAGTGGATTGGGAGCGGTGGGTTTGGGAGCGAGTGGGTTTGGGAGCGAGTGGGTTGGGAGCGGAGTGGGTTGGGAGCGAGTGGGTTGGGAGGCGAGTGGGTTGGGAGCGAGTGGGGTTGGAAGGCGAGTGGGTTGGGACGAGTGGGTTGGGAGCGAGTTGGGTTGGGAAGCGAGTGGGTTGGGACGAGTTGGGTTGGGAGCGAGTGGGTTGGGAGCGATGGGTGGGAGCGAGTGGGTTGGGAAAGCAGTGGGTTGGGAGCGAGTGGGTTGGCGAGCGGAGTGGGTTGGGAGCGAGTGGTTTGGGAGCGATTTCGTGGGTTGGGAAGCGACGTGGGTTGGGAGCGAGTGGGTTGGGAGCGAGTGGGTTGCGGAGGCGAGTGGGGTTTGGGAAGCGGAGTGGGTGGGCGAGCGAGTGGGTTGGGGAGCGAGTGGGTCTTGGAGGCGAGTGGGTTGGGAGCGAGTGGGGTTGGGAGCGAGTGGGCTTGGGAGCGAGTGGGGTTGGGAGCGGAGTGGTTGGGAGCGAGTGGGTTGGGAGCGAGTGGGTTGGGAGCGAAGAGGGTTGGGAGGCGAGTGGGTTGGGAGCGAGTGGGTTGGGAGCGAGTGGGTTGGGAGCGAGTGGGGGTTAGGGATCTGAGTGGGTTTGGGGAGCGAGTGGGTTGGCGCGAGTGGGCTGGGCGCGAGTGGCTGGGCGCGAAGTGGGCTGGGGCGCGAGTGGGCTGGGCGGCGAGGTGGGTTGGGCGCGGAGTGGGTTGGGCGCGAATTGGGCGGGGCGCGGGTTGTGGGCGGCCGCGAGTGGGCGGGGGCGCGAGTGGGCGGGGCGCGATGGGACGGGGCGCGAGTGGGCGGGGCGCGAGTGGGCGGGGCGGCGAGTGGCGGGGGCGGCGAGTGGGTTGGGAGCGAGTGGGTTGGGAGCGAGTGGTATGGGAGCGCGTTGGTTGGGAGCGAGTGGGGTTGGGAGCCGAGGTGGGTTGGGAGCAGTGGGTTGGGAGCGGAGTGGGGTTGGGAGCGAGTGGGTGGAAGCGAGTGGGTTGGGAGGCGAGTGGGGTTGGGAGCGAGTGGGTTGGGAGCGAGTGGGTGGAGCGAGGTGGGTTGGGGAGGCGAGTGGGTTGGGAAGCGAGTGGGGTTGGGAGCGAGTGGGAGGTTTGGGAGCAGTGGGGGTTGGGAGCGGGAGGTTTAGGTTTGGGAGCGATGGGGTTGGGAAGGCGAGTGGGTTTGGGCAAGCGAGTGGGTTGGGAAGCGAGTGGGTTGGGAGCGATGGGTTTGGGAGCGAGTGGGTGGGAAAGCGGAGTGGGTTTGGGAGCGAGTGGGTTTGGGAGCGAGTGGGTTGGGAGCGAGTAGGTTGGCGAGTGGGTTGGGAGCTGAGTTGGGTTTCTGGAGCGAGTAAGGTTGGGAGCGAGTGGGTTGGAAAAGCGGAGTGGGTTTGGGAGCGGGAGTGGGTTGGGAGCGGAGGTGGGTTGGAGCGAGTGGGTTGGGAGCGAGTGGGATTGGGAGCGAGTGGGTTTGGGAGCGAGTGGCGGGGCGCGAGTGGGGCTGGTACGCGAAGGAGCGGGGCGTGAGTGAGGGGGGCGGAGGAGGCGGAACGCGAAGTTGTGAAGGGGGCGGGGCGCGAGGGGCTGGATGGCGGGGGTCAGAGGAGGAAGTGAATGTCTGAGAGCTAAGGTAGCGGAGAGCGATAATGAATGGTAGTTTAAAGGAAGGTTGCGAGGTAGAGACGCGGGTATTGTCGTGGGGGAGGGCGAGAAACTGAAGAAAGGCGGGGTGACTTGGGGCGAAGTACAGGGAAGGTAGGTTGGCGAGGTGAACATCGGACACAAACAGGGAAATGAGGGCGAGAAGCGGAAAATATGGGGTGGGGAAGCAGGCCTCCAAGGCAGAACTTTTCCCCCTTGAACAGCTCCTTTTCGTGTCCGTCGGAAACGTATACGCGCGAAGAAAATTAATTCAATTTTGTTTTTGTTTTCATATTAAAAGCTGCGTTATGAAAATATACATCAATTGAGTGATGAGATAAGTGATGAATTCTTCAGCGGTATTTTTACTTTCTCGCTCTTGCTTTTCAAAGAAAGATACTACTGAAATCGTGCGCCGGAATGTGGAAAATTTTCGTTCCCAAAAACTCTTATTATTGAGCCATAATAACGAAAAAGTGGATAAATCTCGTTGTTGTATATAGTAAATTACTTTCTCTGTAGGTTGTGTACTCAGAATATGTTTTCTGGATCCTTGGTGCCGAAAAATCGATAGACAACAAAACGTCCGAGTCTCTGTATGTCTGGCCGTCTGTGTCAAAGATGGCGCCTAAACTGTTCAGCCTATTTTCTGCAAATTGATAGTTGAAGATCTATTTCAAGGAACCCAAGACCCTCTTGAGTTTGAAACGGATATTTTGATTTGAGGAGTTTCATTTCAAGAAGCGTCAACAATTTCAAAATTTTCTCAAAAATGCACGGAGACAAAATATAGAGAGTTCGCCGGAAAGGCGACTAGCACCATTTTTGTATAGTCCTTTGAAACATACTAGGAGAAAGTTTAAAGAACACAATTGGAGCTGAATAATCAATTTTTCACGTAAAATTACGCAAACATTACTCATATTTTCGAAACATTGTACGTGACCTTATTTAAAGACCAGTAAAGAACATATTAAATTTTGTATCGGCAAGAGCAAAGTAAGCTAATAAAAATAACGCTTCGAATTTTCGTTGAATTTCTAGAACTTTCGAAAACTTTAAAAGTTTTCCAGAAAAATCGTAAGTTTTCTGCGGAAACGGTCTCAACCTTTCGCATTTTCAAGAACTTTCAAACAATATTTTCTCAAGAACGGCATCAATTTTATGAATGACAATTTGTAAATATGACTATGTTTTTCTCACCTACAATATTCATGAAGGCAGCACTACTACTAGGGGCTGAAAAATTGCAAAACTGCAAAAAATTGTCTTTTTGGTGCCGAAACGCTGGAAGATTGCGGCGGAGAAGAAGGAGGGGCAATACCGAAAAGCTCGCCTAGACTAGATCACTAAACTGCGAGAAAATCTGTGCCTTTCTGTAACACCACTAATTTATTTTTGACGTGACCCGTTGCTAAAAATCCTTGTTCATATGGGCATGTATTTTCAAACTGATGTAATTATAATATAGGTAGTAATGTCTGAGCATTTGAACTCCTAATTTACGTTTATTTAAACTCTTTTGAACTCCTAAGTTAGGTTTAATTTCCCCCTGCTGGTGTACCACAATACTCTCTATGACGAAAGAGAGCGCCGCAAGTAAACTAGTGTTGCTAAAACAGCACGTACCGTCTCTCCCGTACTTTCACGCAAAATGTCGCGGAGTGTACTCAAATATTCGAAAAATTGTACATGACCTTACAATAGAAATATAAAATACCCTTGAACATATAATACACTTCATCTGCTGAGAGTATCTGCCTGCTTATGAGCTAGTCTCTTGATACTCATAAACTAAACCGGACTTTAAGACTTTGCCAGCCTCAACTTGCACCGGTTCCTGATCACACGCGAGGTGTTTGTACACACTCGTACACAATGGTCACCGCATACTCCCACGTCCCATTGAACTGTTACCACAATTCTGGACTTGAAATTTGACTATAAACACATTCATTCTTATTGTAACACTTAACTTATCAGGTACCTTCGCACCTGCGAAGAAATGGAATATTTTCATTACATGCCACGGAAACTACATTAACAAAAGAGGCAATCTTACTGTATGAAATTTCCAGAAATAAAATGTTTTAATTATTAATGTCAATTTAAAAGTTAATTTTTCATTAAATTCTTCTTCGTAGTTCAGTTAAGTAACAATCAAAGATGAATAAATTTCTCCAACAATAATATGAGGAACAATATATTTACGACATATTCATTCTTCATAATTAATAAATAATAATAATCTAATTATTAGTAATAATTAATTATAACATTGTTGGGTAAAGGCTGCAATCCCGTATCATGTACTATTTGGAAGGGCTGCCTACAGTTAGACTGGCACCTCGTGTTTATTTAATTACCTTTTAGATTAAGGCAAGTGTTTTGGGGGTAAGGTGTCGACCAGATGTCATGACGTGACGCGTGCGTGCGTGCGTGTGTGCGTGCGCAGGTGCTGGGCGTGTCGGAGCGCGAGTTCTTCGACCAGATGGGCGTCCACTTCGTGGGCTTCGTGTCGCAGTACGGCTACGACCGCGTGCTCTCCGTGCTGGGCCGGCACATGCGCGACTTCCTCAACGGTGAGTGCCCGCGGCTTCATTCACAGCGGCGGACCCCCCGCTCGCCTCGGGCTTGCGACCCGCACCCGGCGCCCAAGGTAGGTGTAGACTCCTGGTGTGCGGCTTTGGGGAACCTTTCGGTGCCTGACACCTCTCTCGAGGCAGCCACCGTGATACCGAGGCCGTTCATCGTGTCGACGTGGCTAGTGAGCTGACAGCACAATGACCAAAATGGTCATTGCAATCGGCTTAGGACATCAGGCAATCTTACTGCCGTGCCTCTCTCCGGAAGGTCCGGGAGGAAGGGTCAAATCCCGACGGTGGCGGGATTTTCGAGGTTGAGTTCTGTCGCTGTCTGGAGGAGAATTCTAGCAGTCGGATACTCTGATCGGTAGTTTTCTCTGGTTTCTCCGTTCAATATCAGACAAATGCCGGAAAAGTACCCTAACAAAGGGGGAACCTCCGGCGCGCGATCTTTCCTTCCTCTTCCTGGTCCTATTCTCACTCCTTATACACACTGACACATGTGCACTACTTTACCACCCATGTCGGGAGACCGGTCGAGAGCTTATAGTTTATCCCGGCTGGGGTTGTGCCTCGTTGAGAGGGGTATCTTAGAGGGTTAGACAACTTGTAGTTCGGCGTCGGATCTCGCCATCCATCGGGAGGAAACCCCACTAAGCACCGTGAAAATAACATGCACAGCAGTTTCGGGACTAATGGCCACAGCAGCTAACGTGCCCAGAAACGGGAAATAATAAAACCATCAATCAATCATGTTTATTGTGCATATACGAGCTTATCTCTTGAGCCCTTAATGTTTGGTCCTGTATGAAAGAAAGGGAGCAAGGGTACATCCAGATGGCGCTGATGCAGTGACCCATAAGCCGCTCTGTGGTGCACCAGTTCTGATCCCCACCTAACGCAACTTACTGAGGATGTACAAGGAATTAAGAATAGCATTTGATGTTCCAAAATACATGGCGAGTAGGAAAGCAGGTCGTTGCAGCAGCTTAGTGACAAAAGCTGGTAGTCAACCGAATAGCACTTGTATTATCGGATAATATAGGCAATGTCTTCACTAACGGTGAATTTATAAGGACAGTAATCTACAGGATATGTATTGTTGACCTTTGAAGAGGCATAGTAGAAAAAAAAACACTCTTTTAATTTCTATTTATCATGAACTACTAACGATGCTCACCCATCGCATATTTCATTTACATTTGCTGACAGCTGAGAGACAAGTGTTGTGGTGAACAGGTCTGAACACGCTCTTTACATTACCTAAAATTTGTAGTTTTATAGATCTTCAAACCTGAAATATCTTCCATTCAACCGCCTGAAAGATTCTAAGTAAGTGGAAGCACATCTAATTTCCCACTGACATCGCTTCGCATTAGGCTCACCTTGCGCCTAATCTCCCGAGGACGGCTGAATCCTGGAAATTCGTGTGTGTGTGTGTGTTTGATTAAAAAATCTTGTAATCTAATGTTGCGATACATGATAAGGAAACTAATAAATAAAATTTGTTTACAATTTTTAAAAGAAAAATAAACTAAAACATGTTTACACTACAAACACTGTCTCGGACGTAGGTGAGCAGGAGACTTCTAGAATATTATTCAGATTCATAAGTAATTAACATGACCAAACTTTCAGACCTACATTTTTAAAAGGTTAAAACCTTCAGTTCCTAGTCCATTTTGTCAGCACCGTGTTCACAGCAACAGTTGTTAACCTTGCTTATTCTTCTTTATTAGTATTATCCCATTAAGAGTCGAGAATCGCGCGCGGTCCTTGGGTTACAGTATTGCTGTGACCTTGGGTCAAACCTGATGGGGCGAAACCAGAGAAACAACCAATCAGAATAGTAATCGCTCTAGACATCTCATCCGGGCAGAGGTCGCTCTTGTCTTAGGCATTCAGCTGTGTCGCTGGTCCACCATCGTTGCTGCTCAAACCTAGCACCTCCCGGGGAACGAATTTTCTTTAGCGAACTCGCAACTACTTACGCTAACGCATTCGGTAGCCACTGCAAATAGCAACTTAATAAACCTAAAGGGGTGTATGTGTTTGTGTATAATTCTGTAATGCCTATTTATAAAAAAACTATTTCTCTGTAATTCTGTACCGCTTATTGTCACACAATATTTTCAAGCTGGGCAAAAATACATGAGGAATAAGGATCCCCTAGAATTTCTAAGGATCTGGGTCGGGATGGGGCGTTTTTTAAAATTAAAATTAGTTTGCTACTCATTATATATGTCATGCAGGGGGGGGGGCGTGCGGGGCGAAAGGTTAGGTCGGG